GAACTTCGACAGCCCCGGCGGGAAGCGAAGGAAGAGCAGCACCAACCAGAGGAAGCGGTCGACAGGAGGGAGCCCCACCTCGGCCAGGTGGACCACTCCGTCATCGTCGTCTACCGCGGCAAACGGTTCCGAGACCAATGCCTCGCCCAAGAGGCAATGCCCCGATGAGGCCAGGTACAGTCTCCGCTGCGAAACAACACTCACGCACAGCCCACTCACGCACGAGCGTCGGCCCGCTAACCACTCGAGTTACGACACACGACATTCGACACACATGACACATGCAGGAAGCGCAGGATTCGATTTGAGGACCGACTGATGGAGCCGCGGCCTTTCCTCGTGCTCATTTCGCCCTTGCTGGAGAAGACCAAGGTCGCCAACCTGTTTAAGAATGAGAGGATCGATGGGTCGCTCACGACCCCCATCAAGAAGAACGAGCTCAAGTACGCACCCGCTTTTACTGGCCTCACCACATATGCACACACACACACGCTCCGCTGGTGCTCACGCACGCACTTCGCGCCGACCCTCTTGCCTACACAGGAATGTATTTAGGGATCTGCTCGATGGGACGTGGCGGCGGATGGCCAGTCAGAGGCGAAAGAGCAGCTCCAAAGGATCACGGATCGAGGCCAGGAGGAGCAGCATCGAGGAGGACGAGTTCATCAAGCGGCTGCGTCGGCGGTTCTCTCACCAGATGCCTCAAACACGAAAGCTCGGATCAGGTCCATACCCTCCACTGCGCACGTCAGCACATCCGCACGCACGCACGCACTAACGGCGGCTAGACGACTTGTTCATTCGTCGAACAGGATCGGAATTTGACCTGTCCGAGTACCTGCAGTCGAACCAGCAACACCTCCTGTTCTCCTACGAAGAGGTGCGGCGCAAGTCCGACGAAAAGCTGCGGACCGAGCAACAGCAGCAGCAACAGCAGCATCAGTACCGGGAGACCCGGAGCGGCGGGAAAGGCGATAGGAAGCGATGGTCGGGCGAAGTGCAGGCCCTCAAAATACTCGGACCGCACGCGTCGCCGCAGCCACCACACCAGCACGGCCAGAACCCGCGGCAACGTCAGGGAAGCGGCAACAACAAGCCGGGAGTCGACGACAAGAAGAAGAACAAGAACAAGCGGCCCGATTGGCGACGATCAGGCGATCACAGCGACCCGCGGCCGGACTCAGGTGACGAATCGGACGGCCAGCGGCGGGCCACGCTCGGCGAGAATCGCTCGGTGAGCGAGGACCTCCTGACCCCCGCGGGCATGGCCACGGCCACGCTGGTCGAGGCCGCCGAGGCGTTGCTTGACCGCAACTCGAATCGCAGCAGAGACGGTAGCCCCGAGAAGGACAACCCACCATTGAGCGAGGATACGATCCTGCGACGACGGCAGCGCGAGGGCTCGCATCCGCACAGGGAACGGGTGCTCGACCGACGGCTACGCATCCTGGTCGTCGAGGACAACCTCATCAACCAAAAGGTCCTCACCAAGGTGTTGGACAA